TGAAACCCTGACAGGGGAACGGGTCCAACACACACCACGGCCACCTTGTTCCAGGGCAGAATAACAACGTTTTCCAGGCAAATTCAATTTTCAGAAAGTGAAGTGTGGCAGCAGCACCAGCTCCAGAGGCCACTGCGACCTCTGGGCTCGCAGGGAGCAGCTCTCCCTCACCGCAGCTCTCCTGGTGCTTTCAGGAAGGTGATGCCACGCTTGCACACATGCTGACGAATGGCAGAAGGAATCCCAGCCCGACGTGGTGCCCTTTGTCCCTTGCTCGGGGTCATTTCCTGGAGCTTTGAGCAAAGGTGGGGCCGAAACGGAGCTTTCTGCTTCCTCCTCCTTCACCCAAGGACAAAACAAGTCCTGCCTCAGGTAAATGTGCAGCACAAGCCCAGAGCCCTCCCCCCGTGCACTCCTGCTCCCAGATAATGCGGCCAAGTCTAAAGCCTCAACCTTGAAACCAAGCTCCAGGCCAGCTGCACCTCTCTCCAGCTGAGCTGGTCCCTTTCCAACCCCTTCCACCCTGATCAGTTTGCATCAGATGCCAGGAAGGGTCAACTTTGCAGGAGAAGCCTCTGAGCCCACCCCATGGCCTCAGCTCTTTCTGGGAACAGCAAATTCAAGCTGTCCCAGACGAAGGGACAAGCAGCTTAAATCACGGGGACTGCACACCAGCGGGCTCACCACTCTCCCTTCAAGGACCTGGTTCAACCACAACACAGGCTGGAACAAAGAAAGGAAAGGAGATGTCTCACAGAATCACAGTGGTTGGAAAAGACCTTTAAGATCACCAAGTCCAACCATAAACCCAATACCGCCAATTCCACCTCCAACCCATGACCCTGAGCACCTTGTCTGCCCGTCTGTTAAATCCCACCAGGGAAGGTGACTCCACCACCTCCCTGGGCAACCCCTTCCAATGCTTGACTACCCTTTTGGTGAAGAAGTTTTTGTTCATATCCAACGTGAACCTCCTCTGGCACAACTTGAGGTCATTTAATGTCATAGAGGGCAGGCACAGAAAGATATTAAATGTTGGTGCAGTCCGTGGAGGGAACCAGGTCCTGGCTGGTCTCCAGCATCCCCAGCAGCAGCACCTGCACAACCAGCTTCCCAAGGAGGCTGAGCAGACTGCATTGCAGCAGCGGGGTCTTGAGGGGACAGAGGATGCAGCAAGAACCACCCTGGGGAGGAGGAGAGTGACCCCTCTTTGGCTGAGTACATGAGAAACTCTCCTGGGAATACTCCAGCAACCCAACCACATTTCCAGCCTCGTGCTCCACAGCCATTGGAAGAGCAGCTCCTCCTCACAGAGGGATCAGATACAACCTTCAACTCCCTTCTTAAATCAATCTTTTTTCTAAATAAAGCCCAAAATCAAGAAATCCATTTTATTGCAAGAGAGAGCTTGAAAATTCATTCTGGTTCCTATCCCCCCTGCCCCCACAGCTTGAACTTTACAGGTATTTATTTACTGGAGTTATTTAAGGAATCTTACCTGGCCCAGAGAAAAAGAACCATTGGTTTTCCTGCCTCAAGTCCACAGCTGTGGGACCGAACAGTCCTGTCCCCCACGGCAGCACCATGCCCAGAGCTGTCTGAAAGGGAGATCATTCCTCCAGCAGAGAAAGGGAAGGAGCTGGGTGCCCGGTTCCAAGCAGAGGAGGGGAAGCAAACGGGGCCATGAAGGGCACCATCATCCTGTCCCATCCATCCTCCTTTGATGAGGTTCATCAAACCACATCCAACCATCCATCAAACCACAGGCATCAGCAAAAGGTAAGCAAAGGCTGTCGGCAATCTGGGACATCCACATCTGTCCTCCTTCAGCATCCCAACCACCAAACACCACGCTGGAGAGCACTGCCTCCAAAAAATCCACCCCTAAGTGCAGATGCTGCCCTGCTTACTGCAGATCAGGACCCTCCAGCCACCCAGCCTCCTGCCACACACATCACAAACCCATGGTCCTACCCCACAGGCAAAGGGTTCCAGATATGCAACCACAGGACCATGGGAAGAAATCACCTTGTCCCTGCTGATGGCAGGGGGGTTGGAACTGGATGGTCTTTAAGGTCCCTTCCAATCCAAACCAGTCTGGGATGAGTCACACCAATAGAGAGAAGGGAAAACCAGGATAACCTAAAAGCCAGAAGTACCGTGTGAGGGGACAGTGGGATGAGCCACATCATCAGACCTGCTTGATGCCACCGAAGGCAGCACCGTTTCACTTGCCCAGGCAGGAGATCCAAGCTCCAGGCAGGAAGAAGGGAAGCAGAAGCCAGGACACTGCAGTATTCTCCTCTGAGCTCCCATACCAGCTCTGGGGAGCTGTGACGTTCCCTGGCCACACTGTCCCCATCCTGGTCCCCTCCTCTCCTCCATGACACAGGAATCATCTCCCAAATGTCCATTCCATGGACACCAAACTGCCCGCTGCTGGAATTTCCACCTACTTGACTTTCTCCACTGACAGCTCTCAGGAAAACCAAAAGCCTCCCAGAAAGGCCACCAGCTCTTCCCTCAGATGTCTGTGGCCCCCCGTGCAGCGGCAGGGCCACCAACATGGCAAGTTCTGGCAGGAGACTTCCCGGTCTGCCTCCCCCCAGGATGGCTGTCACACCATGACGTGGTGCCCAGCAGCCACCCAGCTTTCCCTGCAAGCTAGTGGGAGACACAGAGAAATGGGTGAGGACATGGGACACACATCTTCGGCCCCACAAACCTCCAGTTCCCCAGCCTTGACAACTGGCAGCCCACCAGACTGAGCCTGCTCCCACCAGACTCCTGCCCAGGACTGATGGACAACTCAAGTCCCTGCCTGGGGCACCAGACTTAATTTAAGGGTCCAAAGATCACAGAGGGACAAGGCTGGAACCCATCCTTACATAGGGCATTGGGACTGGGATATTTGGATGTGAGGAAGAATTTCTTTGCTGAAAGGGTTCTGAGGCATTGGAAGGGGTTGCCCAGGGCAGTGGTGGAGTCCCCATCCCTGGAGGGATTGAAGAGTCGTGTAGACACAGTGCTGAGGGACATGGGTTAGTTGGGGACTTGTCAGTGTTGGGTTCATGGTTGGACTCCATGAGCTTAAAGGGCTTTTCCAATCCAGGCAATTCTGGGATTCTCTGATTTTGTGATAGCACAACCCCTACCAGCACATGGTGGATGGTAGCAGGAACCTCTGCCCCACAGCATCACCTGCCTCCCAAAAATGAAGTGGCTGAAGAAGAAACCCAACCGCAGCCTGTCCACGCTCTGTCCTTCTCCCTACAAAGTCTGGTTGGCTCCTTTCCCGGCAGGCAACGAGCCTGCGTGAGGAAACACAGTCGTCTCCACCATCTATTCACCAGGCCCATCTGCTGCGTGATAACACACACGTTCTGCAGCCCCAGCAAAGGCAACTGAGATAAACATCACCTGCCACCTTCCCCAGTGCCTGGGCAGGAGAGGAGCTCCTCTCAAAACCAGCTGCTCCACACTGACCTGGCAAAGGCACCCACCCACAGAAGGGCTTTTCTTGGAAGGGGACACTTCACAGGGGGTACGATGACACAAGCTCTCAGCAGCCCAGCAGGCTGGCAGCAGGCATCTGCTAGAGGTTCTTTTTGGGTGAAGATGGCACGGAAAGGGCAAGAGCTGTACAACCCCACACCTCCAGCAGCATGGACAGGGCTGGCCCCACAGGACCATGCTTCTCACTGCAGCAGCTCTACCCAAACGAGATGAGGTGCACATCAGCTGGCAGGAGCCACCACCACCACTGGCACCTACCTTGGCAATCACAACAGTGTAATTATAACACTTAAAAAAGAATATAGAAGGTCCTCAACCACGTGGGTAGCTTTCAGCATGCTGATCAGATCTCAGGGAACCTCACTGCTCGCTCTGCCCTGCAGAGTTAGGAGTGCCAAAGACAGCCCAGCACCGAGGTGACAGTGAGGGTGGCCGAGGGGTGCCCAGGTCAGGTGCACAGGCAGGATCCAGCAGCAGAGCTGCCCGGAAAACATGTGGCTGCTTCCCTCTGGATACCATTTCTGAGTGCACAGCAGTGGTAGGGGAAGGTTGTCACTAGGAGGGAATGGAGAGTCACTGCAGGGACATCACTGGTCCTTTGCTTTCCTCTGATGTGCAGAACTTTCCTCTAATCAAAGCAGGGCACAGAAGAGAAGGCTCCGGGGAGACCTTCTAGTGGCCTC